CCGGCGAGAAGCAAACCCGCCCCCATGGGTAGGAAGCAAAGAAAGACCGCATTCCGTCCCAATCCGCCGACCTGTAATGCCAATCACGGCGGCAACCTGCAGAACGCAACCGCGAGGGGAGCGTGAGCGGCAGCACACTCCGGATCAGACAATGGTCCGAAGAGCCAAGAGGGGCATCGACGGAAACCTGATATCCGTCCGGATGAGAGGTCAGCAGAAGGTCCAACAGGGAAGGTGTATGATCCTCAACATCTGGAATCCGCGTAGGCGAAGTAACCAGTTGTGTCAGACCATATGCCAAGGCAAAGTCATAAACAGATCTCCCCGCATGATCGGTTAAACGTGAACCGAGCCATTCGGCGTGATGGGCGTTAAAATCGCCAAGGATCACGATCTCTGCGGATGGGACCTGTTGTAGCAAGGAATCTGTAGCCATTTGGACGTGGTCGATGAGTCGGTATGTTTCGGCATTACCGCTATGGGACCTATAGAGGCACGCGTAGACGCGCGGATGGTCGTCGCTGTCTACGCGTAGCCAAAGGATGGACAGGTCCGAACCTTCAAGACTGCCGAGGCGTCGAGAACAGATGTCCTCTCTGACATACACGCAAACTCCAGCCCGAGGCACAAAGGAGTGCTCCAATTTGTACCCCGGGTAGGAGAGATACGAAGTATCAGCCGGAGAGGACACCTGCGTCTCGGTCAGAAAGAGCAAGGCCGGCTTCGCCGTCTCAAGATGGTAGTGGACGGCGTTTAGGTTCGAGTGAAGTCCCCTGATGTTGCAGAAATTCACGGATAGCGTGGCAGGGGTCGCCTTGGTCTTGTTGCTCAGTTTGTCCCGAGCAGTTATTGTGTTGAGCGGAATTTTGCCCCCCCCCCCCCCCCGAATACGCGGGGCAGCCTGAGCACCCACGCTCAGGAGTGGAATAGCATGGTCGTGGATGCTCAGCGAGGGATTCTCCAGGGGTACTGGTACCCTCCTGGGGTAGTTTATGACGTAATTCCGCTACCATGTTGATGGGGGGGGGGGGAATTGGGCCTCCGGTCACCTGCACTCACCAGACGAAACGCGGAAGCAGAGCTTCCACTTCACGCCGGTATTCTGTGAGGTCGTGGTACTAACCCGGCTCGAGCCGGCCCATACGTGCAACAGCAAAAGCTGCTGCAAGGCTCTACCACCGTTAAACCGGGTGGTCTTGTTCTTCAAGAAAGGCGACAACGCTCTCTTGAAGAACTACTGACCGATTTCCCTTCTCAGCCGCGTCTACGTGCTGTTTTCGAGAGTCACTACGAATCGTCTCGCATGCAGACTTGGCGACTTCTAGCCTTCCGAACAAGCCGGTTCTATGTCTGGCGTATGTGGACTATAAGAAAGCCTTTGTATCCGTCGAAATTTGGGCGGTGCTGCAGTCCATTCTGCGGTGCCTTGTTGACTGTCGGTAAATCGAAGTGCTTAAGTGTTTGTACAGTAGAGCTACGATGGCTATCTGAGTACAGAACCAGAGTACGAAACCCATTCAATTGCAGAGAGGCATAAGACAGGGTGACGTTATATCCCCGAAACTCTTCACTGCTGCATTGGAAGACGTTTTCAAGCTTCTGGACTGGAAAGGATATGGTATTAACATCAACCGCGAGCACATCACTCACCTTCAATTTGCCGACGAAACCTAAGCACTATACTCAATGATCTAAATAGTGCCTTTCAACGGATAGGTCTTAAGATTAACATGGACAAATCAAAACTCATGTATAACGTCCATGTCACACCCAGGCTGGTAATTGTTGGGAGCTTTAAGCTCGAAGTTGTTAACGACTAGTTTACCTGGGACAAATAGTCCGACTAGGTTAGTCCAACTTCAACCGCGAGTTCAATCAACGGATTCAACTCGGCTGGGCAACGTTCGGAAAATTACGGCACATCTTCTCGTCAGGTATATCTCAAAACTTGAAAACGAGACTGTACAACCAGTGTGTGTTGCCAGTGATGACCTATGGAACTGAGATTTGTCCTTCAATACTGGCCGGATGTGGAAACTCAAGGTTGCTCAGCGAGCTATGAAGAGGGCTATGCTCGGAGTCTCTCTGCGTGATAAACTTAGAAATAAGGATATCCGCAGGAGAACCAGAGTGACCGGCATCGCCCAACGGATTAGTAGGCTGAAGTACCGTACAGCTCGGCTCGTATAGCTCTAAGAACCTACAATCAATGGGGAAAAAAGATTATCGAGTGGCGGCCTCGTACCGGTGGACGAAGTGTAGGGCACCCCCCACTAGATGGAGTGACAACCCGATAAGACATGCAGGAAGTCGATGGATGGCCTACGTTCAGCAGTGGACTTGTGAAGGGCTGTAATGATGATGATAATGCAGCAGAAGGTAGTCCATCTTCTCTTTTGAAATTAGGATGTTTTTTTTTAATTCGATTTAAATTAAAAACCATGCGAATCATGATTGATAGGAAGTGATGTTTTTTTATTAGAAATCATTAGTACCTATACAATAAAATACAGCAAACCTTATTACAATATTACAAGACAATACTATAGAACTAACAATTTCTTACCTATTCGCTGTTTCTAACGCTCAGTTACAAAAGCTTGACAATACTGTAATTGCGACGATTTGTTACAGTCGGAGCGACGTGCTAATGTAGAATTCCCGCTGAATTGCCTTCATTAGGTGTTACTGCTAGGTGCCCTCCTCATAAAGGTGTAATTTCGTTTAACCGCATCCTCGTTCTACTCCTGATTACTCCCTACGGTGCCTACTACCTACTTTGTTAAAAACCTACTAAATACTTATGATGATACTTTTTAATTTATCTAACTTTACACGTGGTAGAGCCATGCTACCGCAATATTGTGGTTATAGCACGAATGCGTCGGTTCGACCGGGGAAGGACCACGCTCTCGCAGAATACCAGTGTAAAATAGCAACTTAATACTGGTGTTAAGTATTAAAAAATAACGAGAAAATTCCTGCGATGTTTCTTTCGCCAATTCATCTCCACGGCGTTATCATCTCTTGGTAATATAGTACCTCGTTTCAAAACGACGGCTGACGGCTCCATGGCGCAGTGGCCTAGCAATGAGCTGCGGCACTGGGAGCCGCTGGTTCCAATACCGCACGGAGTAAGTATTTATTGAGCCTTCAAATAAATATTCCGGGTCTGGATGTTTGTTCTTGTGATATTAATGTACGTTAACTGCCTCCACGATAAATAATAAAATCCTAACGTTTAAGAAAATTTAGAAGTAGGTTAAACAGGTTTAAAACATGTTGTACTAAAAAATATATATATACTATGTTTTTTGTTTAATATTTAATATTTCATGTCTTTAGCTCATCGGATAGTGCTCGAATTTTGAACCCGGAATGACAGACAGACAAACAAGTAAGTGACTTATTAAAAAAGTGGCAAGAAATACATAACATACATTAATGTTTTATAATATTTTATAATATATAAAATACTATTGTTTTTATATGGAATTAGGCTAACAAACGAGCACATAGTCCACCTGATGATAAGTGGATACAGTGGCCCATACACATCTCCATTCGCAATGAGATTTTATACTCTGCAAAATTAACGACCAAATAATCTTATTTCAGTCATAAACTAATATATACCTCAATATCAGCGAACGATAAAATAGAATACAAATAATTTATCAACAGAAACAAAAAACATGCGTGAGTGTCGTGGAACACTCGGATGGAACGAAGTTCCTTTCGAAGTATATTATTATTGATTAACACATTCTGGCATCTACTGCGAGGGAAATGGATATTATTCCATCTCGCTCGCTGCGCACTGTTGACGTATAGAAAGGGGATCGTGACGGAAAAATATGACACTTTTTCTCGCCTAGCCCGAAAAATCCGTCAAATTCGAACCGTGCGATAAGGAACTTCGTTCCAATAACGAACGTCATTAAATACGGTAAATCCGTTATGTTTTTACATAAAGCTAAATCTATGAATATCTGTCTGCGTAAAATGTAACGAACCAATCTATTATAGCCTATAAAAGTCCACTGCTGAATATAGGTTTCCCCCATTGATTGCCTCATAAGGGGAATTTTGCCATAGTTGCAATTATTCTATAAAAGAAAACAAAAAACAAGTGAATTTAAAAAAAATGTACTATTTTTTTTTATTTTTATATACCATTTTTCGGAATGAAGTTCCTTATATGCTAGGCAAGGAAAAGTGTAAGATTTTTCTGTCACGATCCCTTCTATCGTAGTGTAGACGGCCTAAACGGCTGTGAGGAAGCGAGATGGACTAATATTCATCTCTCTCATACTATTTTTCTTATCTTGCCATGAAAAAATATTATTTTATTTTAAATGACGCTTCATTTTAATAGACGCTAGTAATTCGTTTATTTGTATTTGTTAGTCAAAAATATAATACGTTTATCAATAATAATAAAATACGACCAAAGGAACTTCGTTCTAACCGAGTGTTCCACGACACTCACACATGTTTTTTTAACATATTCTTGCATTGTCATCCAAATTTCAACTATATTCAAACTTTATATATAATTCAATTCAACCGTTTCTTTGTCGAAACGGCTGACTGCTTACTTTGTTATTGCTAAAGCTCCTCGTTAAATATATTATTTTATAATTAATTTGAACTTATTGTCACTTTAAAATCATACAGTATTTACAGTATTATAAAAGTAAAGAAATTAAAATATATTTATCATTAAATAGTGTGAAACATAGAAGATAATTACAAAAGTATTGTAAACATACAAGATCACGCCACCATTAGAGTGGCCTGTCGGCGACAAGTTACTGCAGGGAACCACAGCGGTTAAGTGCAACGCACAAGAACTACAACTGCGTGCGGACTGCACGGTGAGTCACTCCTTACGTTGCTCGATCTACCCAACTAGAGTAAATCACACAGAAGCGACTGCTCGTTTTTCTCGTGCGTAATTGTCTCCGAGAGAACGTAGTGTTTGTTTTAATATCATAATGCGGTGCGAAGGGTGCTTAAATGATATAAAAAGCAAAATTTATTTTCGATGCAGTAAATCCGATTGTGACAAAATATACTGTACATTATGTGCAAATTTACCAAGTACTACAGTGAATGTGCAATCTTGGACATGCCCCGCATGTATCGCACAAGAAAAAAAGACTGGCAACAACAGCTCAACGCCAGTACGTACTTCCTGTCATTCACAAAATGTCACTATGCGAAATAAATTCAACCCTAAGACTTCGACTGAGCCGTCCAACTTGGGAATCAGTGAGTTGACAACCGAAATTAAGCTACTAACTCAGGAAATATCATCGCTTAAGTGTAAACTCGATGAAGCAATGACATCTTTAACTCGCTGCCACGAGCGTTTAGATGAACTCGGTAACTCTATGGCCTCAACGAATACTCGTCTAGCTTCTGTTGAACAACAACAGGCCGAGACCCATCCACTAAAAGCCGCAGTGAGTCAAATTCAAAAAAATCTTAATATGATGGCTCAGAAACAACTATCAAACGAAATGGAAATAATTGGCATCCCAGAAAATAAAAATGAAAATCTGACTCACACTATCTTGGTAGCATCACGCAAGATTGGAGTGGACTTGGCTGATATAGATATTGACTGGGTGGCGCGTGTTGGACCACGACGTGTACCTTTGGTAAAACCATCAGATCACGACTCTGAAAGCAGTTTCACACGACCTGTCGTCGTTCGTCTGTTGCGTCGATCAAAAAGAGACGAGATTATTAAAGCCTCTAAGGCAGAGACGCAACATAACTAGCATTGATTTAGATGTTAAGAGACCGTCTTACAAAATATATTTCAACGAACGACTTACTAGTGAAAATCGGCAGTTATTTCGAGAGGCACGGAAGATGTCTAAAGAATGTGGCTTTAGTTACTGCTGGACAAATCGCGGTAGCATTTACGTACGTCGTAAAGAGGGAAAACCAGCACAACATATTAAGTCTCACGATGATATGTTTCGTATTTTCTCGTGTGGTACTACCACTTTGCAGTCTAGTAACACTGTTAATGTACAAATTTAAAAAGTTTATGGACCTGGTGTGTATTTTCTTCTTTTCATATCTTTTTTATATTATTATTTGTTATTTATCTATATATATTTTTGGGCATAAATACTACCACAACAGTGATCTTAATTATACCAAAGTGAGTGTTTCCGGTCAATATACCTACATAAATATATACTCCTATTTCTGGCCGTATATGTTGATAATAAGGTACGTTCATTTAATTTCATGTACACGCAAAACTTCAAATTTTCTCTCCGCACATTTTAAAATTTTTCGTTTCACTAAATATTTTGTCATGACATTAATAATCTACTATTATATAACTATTTTATATATTTATAATTAAGTTGAACTGAATTTAATGCAAGATAATTTACATGATAATTTAGACACAATAAATATAACATGTCATGACATAAGCCAACTCGAACAATGTGCTTCAATAATAACTAATAAGTACACATTTAAAATATTGAATTTTAATATCAGGAGCATATCAAAAAACTTTACGCACTTTACGATAGCATTAAAACGAATAGCATTCGACTTGGATGTAATTGTTTTAACGGTATGTCGTATTGCAGAATCCTCTATTATCCCGGTACTTCCAGGATACACATCGTACAGAACTCATAAAATAATCAATCAAAATAGTGGTGTAGTAGTATACGTCAAAGACGCATGGAACTCAAATGTTACAGAGCCAGTTTTTAACGAAGCAGATTGTTTAATAATAGAAATACCTGATACAGTAACCATTTTCTGTATATATCGCTCACCTTCGTTTGGAAGCACGGACAGTTTCCTAATAGATCTGGAATCACAGTTGGATCACTACAAAAATAAACCTCAATTAGTATTGACAGGAGATATTAATATTAATATTTTAAAAGGGGATAATGATAGTATAAGTTATGTCTGTCTTGCGGCGGAATACGGACTATTGCCTGCTATTTCTAAACCTACAAGATATGATTCCTGTATTGATCATATATTTGTTAAAGCGGTTGGAGAAACAATTGGTACTATATGCATTTCAGATATTACAGATCATAGTATGACAATAGCTGGTCTATCATTGAATGGAAACATACCTAAACCCCGATTAAGGGAAAAAGTTAAGATTGATTTTGATGCGATAAGTAATGAATTAGCAGTAATAGATTGGTCGGAATTACAAAATCAAACAGACGTAAATCAGGCAGTTGCTATATTTACTGACAATCTATCGAAAACAATAGCTAAACACACCAAACGTATAACTGTGAGTCGTTCTAAATACAATATAAAACCTTGGATTACTCCAGGTTTAATACGTTGTATAAAACATAAAGATAAACTACATATGCAATCAAGAAAGAATCCAAATGACGAAATTTTACTCCTCACATATAAGAGATACCGCAATTTCTGTAATGAGCTTCTATTTAACTTAAAAAGGGAACATGAAAAGTATCAATTGCAAGAAAGCCAGGGACAGCCAAAGAAATTATGGAAAGCAATTAAGGATATATGCAACATAACTACACCAAACAAAGAACCAACAGAGTTATTAAATATTCAAGGATCTATAAGCAAGAAAGAATCATTGGATATTTGTAATACCTATTTTTTCACAGTTGGACAAAATTTAGCACACAAAATTCTTATTAAAAGCAATAAGACTGAAGAAAGCCTAGTGCGAAATAGTAAAATTATAAATACAACAAACTCGTTTTTTATGCAACCTACGGACGCTTACGAAATAGAACACCTAATAACGAATCTCAAAAATGATAAAGCGCCAGGAATTGATGGACTAAGTAATACGCTGATTAAGCATATTAAGAAATTTATCACTGAGCCACTTACAGTAATATGCAACTTAAGTATTTCTACCGGCGTATTTCCAGAAGTTTGGAAGACTGCTATGGTATATCCTATATATAAAAAGGGCCTTAAAAACTCTCCAGATAATTATCGACCCATTTCTCTGCTGAGTGCTTTTTCCAAACTGCTTGAGAAATTGGTTAATAAAAGACTAGTGAATTACTTAGAAGCACATAATCTGCTTTCTTCAAGACAGTTTGGATTTAGGAAAAGAAAATGTACCGAGGACGCTGTAACCACCTTAATTTCACATATATCTTCTTGCCTTGACAAAAACGAATGCTGTATTGGCGTATTCCTAGACTTAGCCAAGGCTTTCGACACTGTTTCCGTACCTTTATTATGTAAAAAGCTTGAAAACGTAGGAATCAGAGGATTACCTTTAGATTGGTTAAGGAAAGCTATTTGCAGGAACGGAAACAGTGCGTGAGAGTGGGTACTTCTTTAAGTGAAATGCAGAATGTTAATTATGGTGTGCCTCAGGGAAGTATTCTCGGTCCCACTCTCTTTGTCATATACATGAACGACATACATCAGTTCAACACAAAACATTCAGAAATAATATGTTATGCTGATGATACAGTCATTTTATATACTGGGAAAACGTGGGATGACGCCATTTCTGTGGCGGAACGCGGTATTTCACAGGTTGCTCATTGGTTAAACCCAAACCTGTTAACTCTCAACGTAGAAAATACTAATTATATGTGCTTTCATAAGACCCGTTCGTCAGCACCACCTACTGACAAACACATAAAATTGCATCATTGCACAACCAAGAAGAATTTGTGTAGTTGTGAAAATATTCGGAGAGTGGAATCTATTAAATACCTTGGTATATTCATTGATCACAATCTTAACTTCAAGGCGCATATCTCGGTATTGGCAGTAAGAATTCGTAATATAGTTTATATCACGAGAAAACTGAGAAACTCTGCACCACTGAATACATTAATGACCGTCTATTATGCCTTATGTCAGTCGCTGCTAACGTATTGTATTTCTTGCTGGGGAAGCGCTTCCAAAACAGTCATGATGAGGATAGAGAGAGCTCAACGTTCTGTCCTGAAAGTTATGCTTAATAAGAAATACAGGTATCCAACAGTTAAATTATATAGAGATTGTAAAGTGTTTACAGTTCGGCAGCTATTTGTCTTATGTGTGGCTACCAGTGCTCATAGAAAAATATTAAGCTTAGATAAATTCAATGAGCTAAAGAAAAAACGTGTGTTCCAAATGCCATTACCAAGCGTTCGCACAGCTTTCGCAAAACGATTTAATCCATTCATAGAAACACTCATATTTAACAAAGTTATGAAGGCATGCGACATAAGAGATTGCTCAACGAATACAGCTAGAAAGAAAATACGAAATTGGTTATTTACGCTTAATTATGTAATATATACTCCAAACATTGTCATAGTAGTTATGTGCCCAATATTGATATTTGATTGATATTGTTATTGTTATTAAAGTAGTAATTCAAAATACTGTAATATTTACAAATTATATTATGTGTATGTATATATATGTATGTGTGTATATGTGTATATATATATATGTATATATATGTATGTGTGTATGTATGTATGTATGTTTGTGTATATATGTTTATATGGATGGCTATATGTATATGTGTGTGTATATGTGTTTAAGTATATATTTATGTTTACAGACTATAAATAAAATGAGGAAGACATTTAAAGTAAAGAAAGCTTTGTAAAGTCAGCCGTGCACTAATTCTGTTTTTGTTAATATGTGTATATGGCTCTCACGATACAGGTCTGCGAGCCTAGTGTGAGAACCACTGTTAAATTATTTGTAAAGGTGCTAACTGTCAAATAAAGTATTTTTCATTTTCATTTTTTTTCATTCAAAATTTCAAGTTTCCAGTTCATCTGGAAGTTAGTTTAAAATCAATAACTAAATTCCACCCGGAACTACAGACAGGCAAATAAACATGGAAGTGAAATTTTATTTTGTTGCGTTAATAAATTATTTTATTTCACTTTAAAAAATTAAGAAAGGCAGTGAAAACTTTGGTTGTGCCTTTTTTCCATTACTTTTTCGACGCTGCCACTACTCTCAAATTTGGTCGATACTGAACGTTTTAGAGTTTTTGGATTCCTTGTGACGCGAGCTTTCTTCCGATTTGCACTTTCTTCAATTCCGAGCATATTTACAAGCCATATTAAGACGATATCTTTAATCATGTGGTAATTTTCAAACTATCATCGATTTTTACTAGTTCTTTTTTTTATATGGGATTAGGCTAACAAATGAGCACACAGTCCACTTGATGATATGTGGATACTGTGGCCCATACACATCTACATTTATCCTCCATTAAAATTTTATATGCAGATGCGTTGTCACCCTTGAGAACTAAGATGGTATGCCTGGTATGCAGTAAAAAGGGTGGCTCTACACACCATACCAAACACTGCACACTGCATTGAGCAGCTATTATACGCTGGTATTCTGTGAGAACGTAGTCCTACCCGGGTCGAGTCGACACATTCTTTTTTTTCGTACATTCGTGCTGTATAATACGTATAATACGTAAAATATGATCAAAAATAGGACTTAATATATATATATATATATATATATATATATATATATATATATATATATATATATATATATATAATTTATATAATTAATAGAATCAGGCGTTACTTTGCGGAAATCCATTATATAAAAGCTTTTACAAAAATTTACTTCGCAAATATCCGCGTTATAAAATAAAATAAAATGACTCTACGCTTAGCGGTTAGCCACCGTAGAGTCTATATCACCTGAGGATGCCTCGTGTAGAGGCGAAACACGTGTCGTATTATCGTCAGTGGTGTGTCTTGCCTAGTGTAGTGGT